GTTCTGCGACATAGCTTACGGAGTGATAGCTTCACGTATTCTTTTAATAATGCTAATACATTTTCAATGATACAAACATAAATTTAAGAAATCAGTTTTTTTTTATGCCACTTAGAATGGCAAACAAGCTAACGGCCCTCCTGATGGAAAGTGGTAACCGTCGCCTATAGACATGAGCAGTATCATGGACATAACAGAGTATACTGTTTCGCCCATGATACCCCCCATGCGTTGCCATTCCTGAGGACTTAGGTGTTATACCTCTGTATCCCGTAAATTCACTGCTATATCCCATCCGTCAAACCGAAATACAGTCATGCAAACTTCACGGTAGAAACGTGAATGGGACAGAGGTACCCAAGAAAACGACTTTTGTACAAAGTCTCCCTCTGGTGATTTACGTCCACAATCTCTAAAAGTGTTTGAATGCCATTTTCTGATTTATTTCTTGTAAACACACTAACAAGTTCGATTAAACAATATCAAATAAATTATATTTTTTTATAATTTACTAAAAAACTGAAATACAACCGTAGAGACACGTTTCTTTAATCAAACGCCGAACGGAAGAGAGAAACAATGATAATCCTAGTTAATTTTTTTACTAGATTAGATTTTTTACTGAATTAGGTACTATTTTGTGTAAGTCTTCTATATTACTGATTAATTAAATATAATTATTGTGTTTAATTTCGCTCTCATTATTTAAACAAATTAATTAAACAAAATAATTCCGCGGTTTTATTTTGTATAAGTCTTTTATATTACTGATTAATTAAATAGAATTATTTTGTTTAATTCCACTCTCATTAATTAAACAAATTAAATAAACAAAAACGGAACTTTCCTAATCCGTTTATAATTAACGGAGTTATGCGATAACAAACATAAAAAGAATACAATCGAATTTAAAACCTTCGCTTTTTCGAACTCCGTTCAAAAATTTTATGGGATGAAAATGGAACCAGATAAAAAGAAAAACTTTTTAAATCGTTATATAACTGATGGAATTATGAGATAATAAATATAAAAGAGAAATATTCGTACAACCGAATTGGGAACGACTTTCTTTTTGAAGTAGATTGAAAATTAATAAGAACGGTCAATAAATGCGCCTGATTATTCCATTAGGGATTTATTTATTTATTTCTTATTGAATTACATGATGTAATTAGTAAATAACATTTCAACTTCAATTATGGGCACAGCAAGTACGAGACAACACTTTTTTTCACTTTAGAAATAGTTTAAGAATCAGTTTCCATATTATCCAGTCATTGAAATTGTATCAAGATAGGTAAATTTTTTCTGTATTATTATTATTCATTATTTACCAGAGAGAGACTTTGTACAAAAGTCGATTGCTTGGGTACCTCTATCGCATTCGTGTTTTAACCGTGAAGCAGTTGGGTTTGCATGGCTGTGTTTCGGTTTGAAGGGTGGGATATGGCGTGAATTTACTGGGTACAGAGGAATAACATCTGAATCCTCAGGAATGGCAATGCATGGGGGGTATCATGGGCGAAACAGTATACTCTGTTATGTCCATGGTACTGCTCATGTCTATAGGCGACGGTTACCACTTTCCATCAGGTGGGCTGTCAGCTTGTTTGCCATTCTAAGTCGTATAAAAAAGTGTGATTAGTAGATAACATTTTAACTTCAATTATGTGTGAATACTTTACTTTAATTATACGAGAGAGAAAGACAAACTTTTTTTTCACTTTAGAAATTGTTTAAGAATCTATTATCATATTATCCAGTCATTGAAATTGTACCACGATAGGTACGTATTTTCTGTATTATTATTATTCATTATTTAAGTATTGGTGTGTGTCTATTCATATCGTATATTTTTATTGATAATACAAAGGGACCGGCGGAATACATAGCCAGCAAAGATGATGGAAGGAGCACTCTATTTCTGTGTCTTAAATTATATTTTGTGCATTGTTCTTCGCGTGTTATAGTCGTGAGGATGTTATTGAAGGTAAAATCTTACACGATCAGTATTTCAATGGCTTTCCCGGATTCAGTTCCAGTTTCTTGGTTACATATACACATAGGTATTGTTGAAATTAATGCATTACCATCATTACTAGTATAGTATTATACTATCTGTGTTATCATATACCAATCAAACTGTAATGAGTCAGCCACAAATTGTTGACACCTTTGTTGGTATATTCCGCTTAGTGTAAATGCAATCAATTCGATCAAATCAATGGCCTTGTGGTCAATGATAATTACAGATCATCATCTGTTACATGCATTTGCTTATCCCTTTCAGATCCAAGATTTTTTTTCTTTCAGATTAAATATATTTTCGTGATTTGGAGCCAAGCCATCTTGTCGGCACGCACGAGACTATTGCACCATCTAATCGCTAAAATGATTTCTTATTGGCTGGTTTAGAATCTCACTATCATGTTATTTCAGCTTCGTGCGTAAAAATGAATTGCGCGCGGTTTTAGAATTTTTTAAAGTTATAACTCACGCCCGTATCGTTCAGGTCTGAAAGGGTTATAAAGGTATCAAGTATATGTTTTTAATTTAGTGAAATATTTTTAAAAGTTTGCTGAACTAGATTTTATTTTGTGAAGGCTCAAATCGCTGATTATTTAATTAGAATTATTTTGTTTAATTCCGCTACCGTTAGTATGTGTGTGACTGCCAACACTCGATGCTTGACTATTACTACCAGTAGTTTCACAACCTTCCAAATTAGCTATTCATTTCCGACTGCTACTTTGTTCTCGCACGTTACTTTCATTTTATTTTTAAACAAATTTGAAATATCTATAGTAATTATCCGTGCAAAGTAAGAGCGGTTTATTTGTATTATATAATTACATAATAATTAAGATTGTGTTCCACCAACAAAACACGACATTATTTTTGGCGAAATCGGTTATTTTGATTTGAAAATTAAATTACTTAATCGATTTGGATAAAATTTCAATGGAACAAATCTCTAAAGTATGTCTTTCTAGATAAAAAAAATATATAAAACGGTTTATAATTGACCGAGTTATGTGATAACGAACATAATAAAAAATTCAACTGAATTGAAAATCTTTCTTTTTGAAATATATGTATAATGGTATTTTACAGATGGACAAAGTATCATTCTTATCAAACTTTTTGTTCTCGAACATTCTCTATGGCGTCCTCAATTTTATATGCAACCGAAACATTGTGTTTAATCTCTAACGATGTCTAATTATACTCGTACCTCCAGCATGCTCCAGCAACTCCCATTGTTCCCGGTTTTCTCGCGTATATTCAAATAGAATTTGTAATGAATTATTATAATTATGGATCCAGTCGTGTAAAAAGGGTAAAATATACAAACTTTTAATTTGGTTCTACTAACTACATTTTATTTTATCAACCAATTTTAAAAAGAAGGCGTGTCTCAATTCGGTTGTATCCCTTTTTTTATACAACTTACAATGGTAAACAAGCTGGCGGCCCACCCGATGGAAAGTGGTAACCGTCGCCTATAGATATGAGCAGTACCATGAACGTAACAGATTATACTGTTCCGCCTATGATACCCCCCATGCGTTGCCATTCTTGAGGACTCGGGTGTTATTCCTCTGTATCCTGTAGGTAAATTCACGCCACATCCCACCCTTCAAACCGAAACACAGCCATGCAAACACAACTGCTTCACCGTGGAAACACGAATGGAACAGAGGTGCCCAAGCAAACGACTTTTGTATAAAGTCTCCCTCTTTTTGGTGTCGATTGAAAAGTAACATTTTTCAAGACTTTAATATATAAAGCGACTATTAAAAATTAAAGACGAATCCACAAGTATTATAATGTTCAAAGACTGGATGAGTTTCAATATTACATTTGACAAATACAACGATATATATATATATATATATATATATATATAACAAGATCACATAATTTCTACGAAGTCGCTGTCAATAAATATTTTAATCAACAATTTTCAATCTAATATGATTACCAAATGCAGGGTAAGCAATTTAAAATGTTTACAGAAATAAAATCTAATTCGGCATCTTTCTTTGTATCCAAACATCGAAGAGGCGAGATGATTTTTTTTTCTGATTCATACTTATTCATACTTTTTTGAGCATGACAGGATCTTTCACGAGATATGTGAATAAATAAATCGATGATTAAAAAGGGTTTTTTTTTTTATTGAATTAAAAGGGATTGATGCACTGTCCTATTTTAATGATATACAACAATGGGTCACCAGTGAAGGACGAGTCAATAAGAATGAAATCACGTCAATTGTACTTTACCAGAGGGAGACTTTGTACAAAAGTCGATTGCTTGGGTACCTCTCTCCCATTCGTGTTTCTACCGTGAAGCAGTTGTGTTTGCATGGCTGTGTTTCGGTTTGAAGGGTGGGATATGGCGTGAATTTACAGGGTACAGAGGAATAAAATTTGAGTCCTCAGGAATGGCAACGCATAGGGGGTATCATGGGCGAAACAGTATACTCTGTTATGTCCATGGTACTGCTCATGTCTATAGGCGACGGTTACCACTTTCCATCAGGTGGGCCGTCAGCTTGATTGCCATTCTAAGTTGTATAAAAAAAGTGGCAGTTTTTTTTTTAGAAAAAGGGTGATCCCTAATATATATTATACTTTTTTTTAGATTTATGTCGCGCATCATTTTAAGCTGTCACCCAATATATTGTCTAGACGTCAAAAATAAAATCTGTCAGTTGGCGATAGTTTTATTCGATTTTTTAATCGATTATCGATTGACTTCAATATGGCAAATATCAGACCGTCTAATTGCCTGCGTTGGGAGGCTTAATTGTTGGGAATGGGAATCAATACAATCACAACTGCTTCACGGTTGAAACACGAATGGGACAGGGGTACCCAAGCAATCGACTTTTGTACAGTCTCCCTCTGGTGTAATAAATAGTATATAGTAGGTATAATAAATAATAGATAGTAAAACTGTGAGAATTTAGGAAATATAAATTCAGAACTCACATGGTCCCAGGGTCATCACCGAGCGGCTCCTCGACGAACGACACGTGCTTCGTCCGCCTACTCTTCGGCCTGAACTCCAGCTTGTTGGCGCAGCCCTTGTTCGCCTTGGTCCTCGCCTCGAATATCACATGTGGGTGTTTCTGCTGAAACGAACCGACAGACACGTGTCCTTGTTAATTATTATGGTAAATTTAACTTAATCTATACTTATAATAAATCTGTAGAGAGGTCAATTCTGTATATGAAATATATTTCCAAAATAACTATCAGGGGGTGATTAGTGATCGATACTGATGCCAAAAATGCAATTAGTAAAATTTTTGTCTGTCTGTCTGTACGCGCCCAAGCAATCGACTTTTGTACAAAGTCTCCCCTTAAATTTAATGTACTATTATTTTAATATCAACCAAAAATTACTAAGTTATTTTTAAGTACATTAAAGGTAACATAATCAAAATTCGGCTCAAATTTATCTTGTGATTTATAAAGGTCTCGTTGAAATTTGTTTTCACGCTAATATTATCCTACTGGAATACCCGTGGGTACTGTTAAATCATCTACAATACAAACAGGAGCTAGAATATATAACTCCCGTAGCGAAAATTAAGGGTCAATTTTTAAAAAGAGCCTCTGCAAATGTCGTCATAATATTTGCCAATTATAATTTGTGTTCTATTTTCTAAACGTTTAAATTCAAATAGGATTGTGACAAAGATATTTTTGCGAGCTCCAGACGCCCTTGAATTCGTGCGTTTATCTCGGGTCATTGTCGCTTGTCACTGGTGAGAAATTTTTAAATTGTCTTCCAAAATTTCTTTTAAAAAAAGTCGACTTCCATCGTGGAACAGTAAAATATTTTTATTTGAAAAATCCAGTTGTTTTGATTTAATAACTAAACCACTGATTCGATTTAAAAAAAATCCATGGTACTTATGTATGTAAGTATATCCCTTTCGGATAAAAAATCGGTCCAGATCGTCTTCAGATAATTGGGGAACATACATAAAAAACAAATTAAAGTTTCCAATGAACGCAGGGCGCTGGCTGTAAGGTATAATATCGTCATAGACGGATCTGACAAAGATTACATATAAAGATCCGTCAGTATTGTACGACCATGGCGATACGTTGGCTCGCAAGTTTGCTCGTTGCTCGACTGAAGTCAAAATAATATTGTTCAATAATAAAAAATAATATCATTATATTTTATATTAAAACAACAAAGGCTTCATGTTTTTGGCGCGCATTGTTATTTTTTCCAACCTGTGGGAGGACAGAGTCGATTGAAAACAAATGTTTAGATTTATCAAACGATTTTAAGCTATTTTATTTACGTTATTTCTTTTTGAATTATGTAATAAATATTTTTTTTTTATTCATTAAATCAGCCGTTAACTGGCCACTGCTAAACATGGGTCTACCCCATAAGAAGTTTATTTGTCAGTAGTCGCCATGATTGGCAGGTGTGTTGGCTACCGCAGTTGTGCTTTGGTGATGTTTTAAGAAAGACGCTGCTGTTCATCTCTCTATACCATTAAATTCTCTTAGTAGTCTTTTAGGACCGCCACGGAAAAAGAAGGGGTAGCTAATTTTGTGCCGGGACCATAGAAATATAAATAGTTAAACAGAAATATAAAATATAAAATATAAAAATAACTATTTACATATTAACCATTTAGAAGGTGGATGAGCAGTAGCATCCCTATTGAAATATCATCAAAAGTCAAACTGGTAGTCAACCCGCCTGCCAAACGTGGCAACTACTGGCAAAATCTACCCAATGGTAAACTGCCATAAGGAACGGATTCATTCGTAGTTTTTAAACTTTAACAACTATTTTAGAGCTTGTCTTTTACTAATAGATAAAGCAAATCTTCCCTCTATATACATATTAGTGGGAACCATTTAGAGACTTTACATTCAGAACAGCCAAACAAATAGTTTCCCTTCGATGTTTGTCGAAGAAAATACAAATACCAAATTCAAGCATCGAATCACGTTCACGTATTGAAAGGTTTTTCACTGTAATATGAGATAAAAGCGAACATTATTCTTTGAAACTCATGCGATTAAAAATTGATTGAAGTATTTCAGGGTTCAGTCATGTATGATTGTTCAAATGCCGCAACTTTATGTTGTTATTATTAGGAATGTTTGTTTTTTAAACTAACTACCTTTAAAACTATAGAATAAGAATAAATATATATATAAAAAAAAAACATATCGGTCTTAAAATACCTAAAATGTAGTACCCAAATTGTTCCTTGCTTTTTTACAATCAGGATACCGCTGTGGTGGCGCCACTGTGCAACATGGCGGCGGTCAAAATGAAAAATGGCGTCAATTTACCGGGCAAACGCGGCTAAATTGGATATTTCTCACGGTCTGAACCCCGTTGTGGATATTTCGCATGTTTTTTGCTTGTCTAGTTTACTTTGGGCTTTTCCATCGTGAACACAGATGCAGCTGTGTTTGTACAGGTCATTTTAGCGTCTTATAGAGTTACGTCAGAACAGCTGTTTACCTCGCAAATCCGGTATCCGTAGGAATTTTAAAAATATTGTATGAATACATTTAATACCTCAGCAAAAATTCCGGAAAATATTTTATTATACTAATCGTATTTCGTGGCGTTGCCCATGGTCATCGTATCATGATGTTAAATAGTTTATACTTTTCTCACACTTGTATTATTTTTTTTTAAATATTTCCCATAATAGATATCGTCTAGTAAAAATTTTATCATATTAATAAGTATGTACGTAGTAGTTCTCAAATGCATAAAGAATTTGCCAAATTCGACTGGTATTTATTAGTAAAGAATAGCGTGTTTAAATAAACAAACACATTCATGTGCTTTAATGAGTATGAGTATACTTTATTTGCATTATACAATATAGGGAATAAGCTAGGCAATTTACAAACAACGATACAATTGTATAACTACAGTAAGGCGGTCTTATTGCTGAGAGCAATCTTTTCAAGACAACTTTAACTAGGTGAAATCTTATTTAATAGTATAATTTTTAACAAAATTCCGAAATAAAATTTGGATCTACATTTTCTACAGATATTCATTCATTCATTCTTTATTGTTCCTTCCAAAAGATTACAATAGTAAATTTATTACAGATACAAACAATTAAAAGAAATAATCACAGTGAGAAAACAATGGGCGACTTTATCGCTAAAAGCGATCTCTAAATTTTACTCACTAAACTTTATAGCTTTATTAAGAAATATTTAAAGATTTAATTAAATTTACTTGTATATTTCATATTTAATTTATAAGCCATGTAAAAAAATCCATTACATAATACACATGGCACCCATTATCGATTTCTGAATAATAATACAATAAAAAATATTAATTTATTGTTTCTACTCTCCTTTAACGAGAATTGAGATTTTAGAGGGATTGCCCTAACGATAAGACCGCATTTTGTACCTTTATGTGTTATATATTTTAATCTGTACTTTACGCTACTGTATTTCACTTGATTTGTTCAATAGTCATTGTATATTTTTATGCCTCTTCGTGCAATAAAGAATTAAATAAATAAAGTAAATGAAGTATTCTGGAATAGAACCTGTAAATATTTGAGACGTGACTGTATAAAACCGCTACACCGCCGGCCTAATCTTCAAAGTACACAGCCGTCTCATCAATCAACTACAAAAATATATACTTCCAGCAATACGAAGCTGTATAGAAACTCGCGCCCGATCGACCTCGCCAAGAGTTCTGATGCAGTAATTAACACGGCCCCCACTAAGCACCGAACTTATTTTAATGAGAAAACTTTCTGTTCAGATCCAATCATACATACTCTTCATTTTTATTGCCCCCTGGTACATTTTGCTAGCTACTATTTCGCGATATTATTATTGCGTAGGTGTTCCTGTTATTTGTATATTTATTTATTTATTATTGTACCACTTAAAGAATAATATAAAGATAAATTTATATTATACTTATGAAGTATAAAAGAAGGTCTTATCGCTAAAGCGACCTCTTTCAGACAACCCCTGGGTAGAGAAGAAAGAAAAATTACAGTATCTATTCGGCTCTAGAAGTGTGAAAAAAGATGTCAATCGTTTATTCTGTACCGTAATTGATTCTTGGGGAGGTGCATCTAAGAGTCACGTTCTCATGCTTGAAAAAGCGCAAAGATGTATTCTCAAAGTTAGTAATTACGCACGCACGCACGCACACACACACACACTCACACACACATACATGCACGCACGCACACGTACACACGAACGTATCAAAAAAATTAAAGAACTGTATTTATTATTTATAATATGTTACTGTAGGGTAATATGTTTATATAATAATTTAACTACGTAATTCTAAGTTTATATATGTATATACGATATATATTCTTTAGCAATATAAAGGTTGTAAGCCTCTTAGTAATAAATACAAATGAAGCACAAGTTCACTTTGTTCATTTAATTTAGATATCATACTATTAAATCATATTTACTTTATATTTGATATATAACAAATAATATAACATAAATACCCAACTTCTGTTAGTCCATTCACATTTATTTAACTATAGCTTCTTTAGGACTTCCATCAACAATAATTGTGATATATTTTATATAATGACCACGTGGTTCACTATACTTGTTCACTCTTGATACGACAGAGAGCTCCGCTCTGTTTAACGGTTGGACAAAAAGTGTCTCCCCACCCAAATGACAATCTTTTATATACACACGGCCGAATTCGAGTGAACAAGTCAGTGAGACCACGTGTTCTTACAATTTCATTACTTTTTATTTAAGTATCATGATAATAAATAATTATAAAATATAAATTTGTGTTCTATATACATTACAAGAATATTTTTTTACAAAATTCGGTATAATAACAATTTTAATATTTTATTATAGTTAAAGTAGTTACTTTGAGTTTTATTAATAAATGTAGGTACATATTTTGACACAAGATGTTTAAAAAAATTAATATAATTTAATATAAATATCTAACAAGTGCATAAACAAATATACAGTTAAATAAAATATTAAAATATATAATAAAATATTATATAAATACATACACTATAAATAAATATAATACCTACCTACTTATACAATAAATTATGTTCAATTTTTACCTCTGACTTCA